GATGAAGTCTCGCCAAGTTGCCTGGGCGGGTCTCAAACCCGCGGGCTCAGGCAATTCACTCACCTCAGCCTCCCAAAGTGCAGGATTACAGGCTGAGCCACCGAGCCTGGCTGCACCCCACATTTTTAAAAGAAAAGAAAAAAAAAGCTTCATAATAGTGGGGTTGGCAATGATTTCTTGGATATGACACCAAAGATATAAAAACAACAAAAGACCAAGGCAACAACAAAAACGTCCAATGGAAAAATCAGACTTCATGAAAATTTAAAAATTTTGTGTATTAAAAGACAATACCAGTCAGGTGTGGCAGCTCATGCTTATAATCCCAGTACTTTGGGAGGTTGAGGCGGGAGGACTGCTTGAGCCTAGGAATTTGAGACCAGCCTGTGTAACACAGCGAGACCTTGTCTCTACAAAAAATAAAAAAATTAGTTGAATGTGGTGGCACATGCCTATAGCCCCAGCTACTGAGGAGGCTGAGGCGGAAGAATCTCCTGAGCCCCAAAAGTTGAGGCTGCAGTGAGCTGTGACTGTACCACTGCACTCCAGCCAGTATGACAGAGTGAGACTCTGACTCAAAACAAAACAAAAAAAAACCACAAAAGACAATATCAATAGAGTAAAAAGGCAATTCACAGAATGTGAGAAACTATTTTATTGCAGGGTCCTGAAGAGCTAGATATTTGTAGAAGCATGCTCATAACAGCATTATTCACAAAAACTAAAATGTGTAAGCAACCAAAGTGTCCATCAACAAATGAATAGATAAGCAAAAAATATTTTCATTATTAAGATTGATAAGAGATACCACTATAATGAGATACCATTTCATACCCTTTATGATGGCTACTGCCAAAAAAACCAAAATTATCTGGCCTATAATCACAGTATTTTGGGAGGCTGAGGTGAGAGGATTGCTTGAGTACAAGAGTTCAAGAGCAGCCTGGGCAACAGAGTGAGACCCTGTCTCTAAAAAAGAAGAAAAAAAATTATAAAAACAACAGAATGTGGAGACACCTCTTGTCAACAAGGGTGCCTAAATGAAGCATATTTGTATACCTAACCCTTAACTATACCCCACAATATCATAATAAAAAATATTGATTAAAAAAAAAAAAAGCCGGGCTCGGTGGCTCAGCATGTAATCCCATGCCTTGAGAGGCTGAGGTGAGTGGACTGCCTGAGCCTGCGGGTTCAAGACCCGCCTGGGTAGCGAGACCTCATCTCTACAATAAATCAAAAAAATTAGCCGGGTGTGGTAGCGTGCGCCTGTAGTTCCGGCTACTTGGAAGACTGAGGCTGAAGGATCGCCGGAGCCCAGCAGGTTGAGGCTGCAGTGGCCGGGAAGGCCACTGCACTCCAGTCTGGGCGACAGAGCGAGACTCCAATTCAAAAAAAAAAAAAAAAGACTGCAAGGAGAATGACCAGTACTGCTTTTACGGAGACTGAGCCTGAATGCTGCATCAGAATTGCTTTCTCAGAATTATATAAGCTAGAAGAGAATGAGGGAGCCTCAATTTAAGGCAGCACAGGCTGATAAAACTCAAGTCAAGCTTGTATTTCTTGTACAGACAAAATAGCAAAACTAAAAAACTGTCTAATAAAAATGTTTATTTACACACATTCCTACATCTTAGATAAGAAAAAGAATCCTGTTTTTTCATGGTGCTGTTGTCACATCACTGTGTCACTCCCACTTCTCTGGGCTCTGATGTGAGGCAAGTCTGCCTTACTGTCAGTGGCAGCAGGAAAATTATGGTAGAGAAGGCAGCAGGGTTGGGGAGGAAGTCAGTGATTTGTGTTCCTTTTTTTTTTTTTCTGAGTTGGAGTCTCACTCTGTTGCTCAGACTGGAGTGCAGTGGCCGCTCCCGACCACTGCAGCCTCGACCTGCTGGGCTCCAGTGATCTTTCCACCTCAGCCTTCCAAGTAGCCGGAATTACAGGCTTGCGCTACCATGCCCGGCTGATTTTTTGATTTATTGTAGAGATGAGGTCTCACTGCCCAGGCGGGTCTCGAACCCGCGGGCTCAGGCAATTCACTCACCTCAGCCTCCCAAAGGCGCGGGATTACAGGCTGAGCCACCGAGCCTGGCATGATTTGTGTTCCTAAGTCACCAAATGGTGACTGCCCTGTGTGTTCTCTCATGACTCCAGGGCCTGGAAGTTTGGGGATGCCGGGCACCGCTTCTGCTGGTGAAACTGCTGTTTGGGGGTTACTTCTCCCTTACTCACATATGAGTCCAAGAAAGTATCATCAGCACAAACAGTAAAGAACAGTGCCTCTATATAATACAACCATGTAACCAAAAACTATTTGTACTCCCTGAAGCTATTGAAATAAATAAACAATAAAAAAGAAAAAAAAAACAACAACAACAGAAAATGACAAGTGTTGGTGAGGATATAGAGACATTGGAAACCCTGTGCACTGTTGTAGGGTATACCCACTGTGGAAAACAGTTTGAAAGTTCCTCAAAATACTAAAAATAGAATTACTATATGATCCAATTCTGGGTATATACTCAAAGCAACTGAAAACAGGGTCTTGTGGGTGGGCATGGTGGCTCATATATGTAATCCTAACACTTTGGGAAGCCAAGGTAGAGGACTGCTTGAGCCTAGGAGTTCAAGACCAACCTGGGTAACAAAGTAACCAAAGTGACATAGCAAGACCTTATTTCTACAAAAAAAAAAATTTTTTTTTTAAGAAAGAAAACAAGGTCCTGAAGAGCTAGATATATGTATAAGCATGCTCATAACAGCATTATTCGCAAAAACTAAAATGTAGAAGCAAAGTGTCCATCAACAGATGAATGGGTAAGCAAAATGTGATACACATATATACAACGAAATATTATTCAGCCTTAAAGTAGAAGGAAATCCTGACAAATGCTGTAATACAAATGATACTTAAGGACATTATGCTAAGTGAAACAGTCTAGTCACAAAAGACAAATAGTATGATTCCACTCATATGAGTTACTTACAGTAGTTAAAATCATAGAGACAGAAAGTAGAATGGTTGCCAGAGACTGGTAGAAGGGAATGGGGAGTTAGTATTGAATAGGTATAGCATGTCCAGTCTTATAAAGTGAACAGAGGCCAGGTGTGGTGGCTCACGTCTATAATCCCAGCATTTTGGGAGGCGGAGGTGAGAGGATTGCTTGAGCCCACAGGTTCAAGACCAGTCTGGGCAACTTGGCGAGACTTCATCTCTATAAAAAGTTATCCAGGCGTGGTGGTACATGCCTGTGGTTCCAGCTACTAGGAAGGCTGAGGTGGAAGGATTGCCTGAGCCCAGCAGGTCGAGGTAGTGGTAGCGATGAGTGTGCCACTGCACTCCAGCCTGGGCGACAGAGTGAGACTCCGACACAAAAAAAAAAAAGAAAAGAAAAAAAGACAATGACAGGATAGTATATTCAAAATATTCTGGGACCAGAGTTCAAAAAAAGAGGCAAAAAAGAAGAAACTGATAGATACTCTGTAACCAATAAGAACACACAAAATTATTCCCTTTCTAAATAATTACCTATGAAGTTATATGCCTATAAATATTTAACCCATCATATCTTTACAAATTGACATCTGAAGAAAGATCTCCATGAATTAGGAAAGCTTTTTTTAATATGTCAAAAAATAAAATTATGTTCTAATTATTACTATAACATTTTTGTGCTAGCATATAACATGTCTATCCAGAGGGAACACCTTTCTCTGATGCACACAAAAGCCCATATATAGGCTACTACTGTAGAGTGTCAGAAGTAGAAGACAGTTTACTTGCCAGAGGGGCCAATGTAGCCCAAGTCTTCAGAAGGATCTTCACGCTATAAACATTTGACATTGCCACTAGAAATAATATAAAACTAATTCACTCGGGCTTAGTACCCTTGGGAACCAGAGCAATAGGATTTATGCTGGAAGTGAAACCCTGATATTAGGAGGGCTTTCCATTATTTAAATAAACTCCCCACCTTGGATGGGGTATAGGACAGACCCACAGCACCTGAATTCCCTTTTTCCAGTAGTGTGTATTATGTATTGCTAAATTATTAGAATTGTCCTTAGTCCATTTTCTGTTGCTTATAACAGAATACCTGAAACTGGGTAATTTACAAAGAAAGGAATTTCTTACCAGCTGCATCTGGTGAGGGCCTTCTTGCGGTGGGGACTCTCTGAAGAGTCCAGATGTGGCACAGGACATCACATGGTAAGGACACTGAGCATGTTAACTCAGGTCTCTCTCTTTTTCTAAAGCTACAGTCTTATTCCCAGGCTAACGCCTTAATCCATTAACCCATTAATCCATGAATGAATTAATCCATTTGTGAGGGCAGAGCCCTCATGACCCAATCACCTCTTAAAGGCCCCACCTCATAATATTACCACATTGAAGATTAAATTTCAACATGAGTTTGGAAGGGACATTCAAACGACAGCAATAATAAAGGGAAAGGAAATGCTATCTCAAAACCCTCCACTCTGACTTTGTCTTCAACATCACTGACTTATGTCTCTGACACAGGACTCTATTAAATACTGGCCAGGCGCAGTGGCTCAGCCTGTAATCCCAGTACTTCGAGGAGAGAGGATTGTCTGAGCCTGGGGGTTCAAAACTAGCCTGGGCAACTTGGTGAGACCTTGTCTCCACAATAAATCACAAAAATTAGCCAGGCATGGTGGCATGCATCTGTAATTCCAGTTACTTGGAAGGCTGAGGTAGAAGGATCACCTAAGCCTAGCAGGTCGAGGCTGTGGGTAGCCATGACCATGCCACTGCACTCCAGCCTGGGCAACAGAGTAAGACTCCACCAATCCCGCCCCAAGATAGTATTGAATAGAAAATTTCTCAGTTCACTTAACAATGTAAGATTTAAATCTCCATAACTAACAGTTGACTTGTCATTTTACTTGGTATCAAAGCAAACAAAGAAAAAAGGGAAATAACACCCATGTAACAATGTAATCATTCTCACCCCAATGAGAGAAGATTCACATACCGAATAAAACTCAAGTGAACACCAAGTGACCGGTGGGATCCTGAACAATCAATGCAAAGAAACACTCCATAGGTTATGCTTGCCCAGCTGGGGTTTTTGGCACCGCAATCAAAACACACCTGAGAGAAAAATGTTAAATTCAGTTATTCATTAATTTGTATTAACCAAATGAGTCATCCTATAAGATACAGTACATGACTTAGCTCGAAAATTGCTTACCCTTTACAATTTAAACTTGATTAGAAAATATCTCACCAGATTTTTTAGACTCTCAAATTTCAATTTCTGTTATTATTATATAATATTGTGTATATAACCATATCAATTATGTTAATATGATTAAAAATTAATAGAAAATATTAATTATACAATAGATTATAGATTATTAAGTACATATATTGTTGTGGGATTTCTTGAGGGTTTTTTCTGAGTTGAGTCTCACTCTGTTTCCCAGGCTAGAGTGCAGTGGTACGCTCATGGCAACCACAGCCTCGTCTTGCTGGGCTAGGCAATCCTTCTGCCTCAGCCTTCTAAGTAGCTGGAACTATGGGCACACACCACAGTGCCTGGCTAACTTTTTGATATTTGGCAGAGACAAGGTCTTGCCAAGTTGCCCAGGCTGGTCTTGAATCCCTGGGCTCAGGTAATCCTCTCACCTTGGCCTCCTAAAGTGTTGGGATTATAGGCGTGAGCCACTGTGTCTGACTTTTTTTTTTTTTTTAATTGGGGTCTCACTTTGCTGTGCAGGCAGAAGTGCAGTAGCACGATTATGGCTCACTCCACCCTTGACCTGCTGGGCTCAGGTGATCCCTCCCCCTCAGTCTTCTGAGTAGCTGGGGCTACAGGCACATGCCACCATACCTGGCTAATTTTTTAATTTTTATTTATTTTTTATTTTTGAGTTGGAGTCTCACTCTGTCGCCCAGACTGGAGTGCAGTGGCCGCTCCTGGCCACTGTAGCCTCGACTTGCTGGGCTCCAGCGATCCTTCCGCCTCAGCCTTCCACATAGCTGGAACTACAGGCGTGCACTACCACGCCTGGCTAATTTTTTGATTTATTGTAGAGATGAGGTCTCGCTGCCCAGGCGGATCTCGAACCCGCGGGCTCAGGCAATCCACTCACCTCAGCCTCCCAGAGGCGCAGGATTACAGGCTGAGCCACCGAGCCCGGCCTGGCTAATTTTTTAATTTTTTGTAGACAAGGTCTTGTTATGTGGCCTAGGTTAGTCTCAACCTTCTGGGCTCAGGCAATCCTCCTACCTCAACCTCTCAAGTATCTGGCACTATAGGCACAGTCTATGATGCCTGGCTAATTAAAAAAATTTGTAGTGATGAGGTCTTGCTATGTTGCCTAGGCTAATCTCAAACTCCTAGGCTCAAGTAATCTTTCCACTATAGCCTCCCAAAGTGCTGGGATTAAAGGCATGAGCCACCACACCCAGCCCATTATGTATATATTGAAACACTATACATTGTGTGAAGTGAAGAAAATTTAGGTTTGTATACCATCTCAAATGCTACTTATCCCTGAAGCGTCAGCAGGGATCCTACTAGTCATGTAAATGAATGCTATTGAAGAAAGTTGTCCAATACCCTAGCTCTTACTATCTTCCCCAACAGTGGCTATATACCAGATGGCAGGCTCTCATACATATTTCTTCTCTTCTCAGTCAGAAGAGGAGGATGTGGTAGCCAGATTTCAAGAAAGTCCCAATGATCCCTACCCTTGTAAAATCTCCACCCTCACTTTCCTAAGGTGAATTTCCAATAGAATATGTCACTTCTGAGATTAGGTTATAAAAGATATTGTGGCTCTCGCTCTCTCTCTTCCTTGGATCACTAGCTCTGGGAGAAGCTAGCTGCCATGTCTGGAGGACACCCAGATGGCCCTGTAGAGAAGGCTGAGTGGCAAGAAACTGAGGCTCTTAGTCAAATAACCAGCAAGGAGAGGAGGTCAGTCAACCACCACGTGAGTGTGCTCTTGGATGACTGACTGCAGCCCTAGCCAACAGCTTAACTGCAGACTCCTGAGAGACTCTGACCCAGACCAGCCAGCTAAGCCACTCCCAAACTGCAGACTTTCAGAACCTGTGTAAGAGAATAAATAAATGTCTGTTATTTAAAGATGCTAAATTTGGGAGTAATTGGATACACAACAATAGATATCTAATACAAAGAGATGTTCCTCTTTGAAATGCTGTGTCCTTCTCTACCTCCACCCTCTCCATTCTGCCCTGGTCACTTTGATAACTCTTCGACACACACTATTAACCACACTATCCCCTACCCACTGAGGATACGGAGAACTCATGGGGCTAGGACTTTTCCCTGTCACCTTGCCTTTGTCTCTGCTAGCACAGATCCCACACATGGTAAATGCTCAATAAGTATTTGCTAAATAGATTTGTATTTTCTTAAATCTCACACAGAGCTTAAAAAGTAGTGTCTTACTAATGATAAGCACTCAGTAAATATGTGTTAACCAAGCAAACAACTTACAAAACTCACTGTCAGCTCAAAAATTATCACTAGCTTCTTTGACACCGACACTGAAGTCAAACTTTTTTTTTTTAGTTGGTATCTCACTCTGATGCCTAGGCTGGAGTGCAGTGGTTCAATCACAGCCCACCACAGCCTCGATCTCCTGGGCTCAGGCAATGCTGCCACCTCAGCCTCCTGAGTAGCTGGGACTACAGGTGCACATCACTGTGTCCAGCTAATTAAAAAAATTGTTTTTGTAGAGATAAGGTCTCACTTTGCTGCCCAAACTGGTCTCAAGCTTCTGAGTTCAAGTAATCCTGTCTTGGTCTCCCAAAGGTGTGAGCATAGCACCTGGACAAAGTCAAGCATTCTTTATCTGATAAAAAGAGCATAAAAGTACTTTTTAAAAAATTAAAATTTTTTTTTTATTTTAAAGATGTGGGGTACAAGCCAGGCTTAGGTATATAAGTGGTCGTCATACAGTAAAGTTTGGGTCTCCCTTTGGTCCCAATTCTCCTGGTTTGAGATGAAACTATGGGAAGTTTGGCCTTTAAGATCTGACATCTGGCCTTCTGAGGGCAATATGAGAGAAAACATGAGTGGGCTTTCTAAAGCCCCTCACCATGATAGGCTCATATTGATTCCACATGAATAGCAGGGGTGGAGTGACAACTGACATGAAAAGGGACTGATTTACTTCAGTGTTTAATAATCACCTGCTGTATGCCAGACATGTGACACATGTTGAGGTATGAAGAAGTAGACAGCACCACTGACTGCAGGACACTGGCTGAGCCCCTATTCCCTGCCAGGCCATGTGCTGGTCTTTAAAGAGCTTACTGTGAAGTGGGAGAGACAGACATGGAAATTAAATATCACCCTGTAGTAATGGCCATTAAAGTGAGGAACCCTTTTCCATGGGACATCAAATCCTCTTTAGTGGGACTCTGCCAAAAGGTGCTGTTCTTCTCTGAGAGGCTGTTTGTAATCTCTCACTTACTCAACTAATAGTATTGCTGCACACATATTAGGGAAGTTCAGGAACAGTCTGTCCACACAGAGCTCACAAGTCTAGTGGGCAAGACAATTAGTTACAAGATTGTATCTTAGTAAGCAAAGACAGGATAGAAAAGGTTTTTGGTGAAGGTGACAGCAGAGATTTGGTATGCACAGCCAGAGCAGGTAAGTTTGAGAATCACATCTGAGGTGATCATAAAACCAGCTACATTCTGAGGGCAGTAAGGTGTCTAATGTGGAGGCTTCAGCATTCTCCTGACCTACCTACTAAGCTGAGGAATTGCTAGAATGTAGCTCCATAAGGGCAGGTGTTGGGGGATGTCTATTGTGTTCATTTTAGCTTAGCATGGAGTCTGGCACAACACAGGCACTCACTAAATGCAAACGCAGGTGGTGGGGCAGACAGCAGGGATGGAAGAACTAACAAGTGGAGACTGAGACCTGGGAGGTCAGAAGGCAGTTAGAAATACACGTTGGGCTCCTGCAAATGCTGCCTTGATTCTCCTGTTGGAGCAGGAAGCTGTGCTTTAAGCAAGCATTGCACTTTGTTTCTGTTTTGTTTTAATTTTTTTCTTAGATTCTTCAATTTTCTTTATAGAGTGGCACTTTGTTTTGAAATGCAATTTCAAATCAAAGTCGAGATATGGTTTTCTAAGCTGAACATCAGTTCTTGTGGTGATGAATAACAGCTTTGACTGACAATTTGCTTTACCTAACGCTGAGGATAACAATTAATATGGAAATAATAATAGCAATATTGAATGTTTATGTCAGGTGCTGTTCTTGGCACTTAAGACAATTTCATCCTCACAATAACCCTACTGTTAGGAGGTACTAGTAGAAGGTACTACTGTCATCCCCATCAGGGCCAGCTTTCTGGGTATGTATGGGAGCTATGTAGTCTCACAGGGTACCACACTTTAAAGGGCTTGTGATTGGTTTAATGTTCTGTTGTCTTCATCTTGGAATTCTTTTTTTTTGAGTTGAAGTCTCACTCCTTCGCCCAGGCTGGAGTGCGGTAGCACGCATGCGCTCACAGCCACCCCAGTGTCGACCTGCTGGGCTTCAGCGATCATTCTGCCTTAGCCTTCAAAGTAGCTACCATGCCCAGCTATTTTTTATTTTATTGTAGAGAGGAGGTCTCACCAAGTTGCCTGGGCTGGTCCCGAACCCGCAGGCTCAGGCAATCCACTTGCCTCAGCCTCCCAAAGTGCTGGGATTACAGGCTGAGCCACTGAGACTGGCCTCATCTTGGAATTTTTAATTCCTTTCAGAAAGGGTCCTGCATTTTCATTTTGTACATTTCACAATTTATGTAGCCAGTCTCAAGCCCCATTTTAGAGAAAACTAAGGAATTACTGAGTTAGGTATCACAGCCAGTATCTAGTCCATGTGGCCACAGGGGGTTCGGTGTGCTCTGGAAGCCCACTCTCCCCACCCTTACCACACTGTCTCATAGCAGAAAACACACCACCTTGAGTCCAGCATCTACCCTTCACTCACTAGACTGTAAGCTCTCTGAGGACAGGAGCTGTGTCTTTCTATCCATGAGGGTATACACTCTCAGTGCTTGACATAGTGCTCAGCAATGTACTTAATGAATAGTTGTTGAATGAATAACACAAGCAATTCATGTAAAACTAAGGAAGAGTACAGCAATAAGGAGGGATTTCACAAACTAGAAAACTGACCTTTATGAGTTAAAACTTTTGATCTAGAGTAAATCTTCATCATGCACGACAAAAAGAAATTAGATACTATACTCTAAAAGTAAACCAACTTATTTTTCTTTCACTTTCTTGTTTCATGTATTTTAGAGCTTTTTTATGATCCCAGTTTTAAAATGCTTATTGTTATGCAACTCTTTCACATCATTAAAACTAGTTTTCATTTTCCTTTAGGCAATGGCTTCTAACCAATGATCAAGTAAAAGGTTTCAACCATGAAATATAGCACATTACTATAAAACATTACTAGAAAGTAATTTTGCTCATTGCTCTTATTAATTCTATAATATAACATAAAATTTTCCACAGATAAGTTCTTCATAATAAAAACATTTACAAAAAAATAGCTGAAATTTGCTGAAAACTAGTATATGCATGTCCTGCTCTAAGTGCTTTTCTTGGATTAACTCATTTAATCCTCATAATAACTCTTTAAGTTAGGTCCAGTTCATGCCACCATTCTCAGATGAGGAAAATAAGGTACAAAGTGATCAAGTAACCTGTCCGAGGGTGATATAGCTAAAAAGTGGCAGACTAGATAATAATTTAAAAGCATGTCCCTCAAAAGTGTCTGTTGGGGTCAGGCACAGTGGTTCACGCCTATAATTCCAGCACTTTGGGAGGCTGAGGTAGGAGGCTCTCTTCAGTCCAGAAGTTTGAGACCAATCTGGGCAATATAGCAAGACGCTGTCTCTACAAAACAAAAACAAAAATTACATGGGGTGGCACGTGCCTGTAGTCCCAGCTACCTGGGAAGCAGAGGTGTGAGGACTGCTTGAGCACAGGAGTTTGAGGCTGCGATGATACACTGAGCTGATCATGCTGTTGCACTCCAGTCTGGATGACAGATTGACATTCCATCTAAAAAAAAAGTGTCTTTTGGTATAAAGACACTGACTTCTTATTTAAAAGGGGCACCTTCCTTTTGATTTATTCAAAGAGAATACATATTGATATACTTCTGAGATAAAACTGCCAAAAAAAATACAGTTTTACGCATTGCTAACTGCAGATCCTAATCTTGTCTACTTAAACAGTAGCCACTCTTTTTAAACAGATCAATCTAAATATGAAAATCAAGTAAATAGTAAGGAAATAGTACTGGAGAATTCTTAGAGCCTTTCTCCTCTTAACTTTCCCACATCCATCAGACATCACCACCAATAAACTGTCTCCTTCCTCACTTTTTCTAGGCTGTAAAAAATATAGCCTCGTTTTTACCATCAAGACTCAAAACCAACAAAAACATCTAAATTTTGTAAAACTCAAGAACTTTCTATGCCATCGTGTCAAGGCTCACTGACAGCTGTTTCCTTTAGAGGTGACAGTGGGGAAGAGACAGAAGTCCTGTCACAGGAGGGGGGGGAGAGTCAACCCCGACGCCACAGCAGACAGCACTTTGTACTCTCCAGGTTCCCTCCTGACCCGTGGTCCTCAGGAGTGTCACCCTCGCCCCCTGCGTCATCGAGCAAAGTTGTAAAAGTTACAGTGGAGAAAACAGCCGCTGGAGACAGAAAAAGAAAAACAATTTCCAAAGAGCGCCGAGGGGAGGAAGCCGGAAGCCGTCGCAGAGACCACGATGCCCCTTTATCACACAGGGAAACCGAGGCTGCCCCCCAAGGACAAAGGGCGCCAAAGGGCATCCCTGAGGAACGTAAGAGACGACCCCTGCGGTGGCGAGGGGCGAGCCAAGATGTGCCACGCAGCCGGCGCTACCATCTGGAGTTTCTGACCCGGGGGCTTGCTGCCCGCGGGGCCGGGGGCTCCGTGCTGGCCGCCCCCCACTCCCAG